AAGGGGGCGTCGGAACCAAAGATGACCTACTGGAGACCCTCTCACTGCGGGAGACGTCCCAGCCATGACTGTGCCCAGCTGTCCTGGGCCTTGTCAGACCCCCAGCAACATCATCATGACCAAAAGCTCCATTTGGTCATTTGAAAGCCCCAACACAAAGTCAAATGCATGCATTTTGCACTGCCAATTCACTGACTCAGAGATGGGCTGAGGGTAAGAGAGTATGTGTATCAATTTAAAACTGCAGATGCTGAGCACCGGCTGCCATGCCAGCCTGAAACATTCACCATGAAAATTCATCTCGAGACCCAACTGGGTGGTGTGCTGGTAGACACTGCTATATGGCAGGTTGAGGCTGAGTTTTAATTTGTGGCCCACCGTAAAGTTGGGCTTGGAGGTACCTGCCTGTATTCCCAGTGACTAGGAAGGCTAAGAGAGGATGACCTTGACACAAGATCTTGTCTAAGAAAAAGACAGTTCAGGCATCGCTTCATTAAAAGACCTTCCCTAACATTCTGCTCTCCCCTAAATTCTACGCCAGGCTGACCTCTCAGCTCCTAGCAGGGAGATGACCAAGCAGGGTATCTATCACCAAAGCCTCAGACTCTGCTTATTATAACTCTCTTGACTCATTATAATGGAGTTATCAGGGTACCAAGATTGTAGGTCTTCTGTATGAAGACAGAGAATTCACAAAAGGACACAGGTAAGTAAGGGGAAGAGAAAAATGGCTGTCATTGTTACAGTAACCCCAGGTGGCACATGGTGCACTTTAATGACACAAACATATTAAACCATGACCGACAGCTGGCTCCTGTCCTCTACAGTGGGCTCATACCTGCCATGTCACTGATTTCACAAGTCACAGAATAACACTGTACACAGTTGAAGGGCTGGCCCCACTTACAGCACCATGGTGAGGTCTTATGAACCTGTATGTTTCACATCATACGGCTACCGCTTTACCACCTCTGACATACCTGTAAGCCCCTTAGGTGCGAAACTGTCCGAGTTTTCCCCATGTCCAAAATAACTTGAATGAAGCCTGGAATATATTTGGTACAAGGGTCCCCCTTACCAATGGAGGATAAGTCCCAAGACCTCCAGTGGTTGCCTGAAGCCACAGACAATACCGAGTCCTATATATGCTATGTTTTTCCTATTTGGACATAACTATGATAAAGTTTAATTGTGTGCACTGGCTCACAAATCCCTCTGATGAGCTTCAGTCTCTTCTCCCCCCCCCCCGCCCCCAGGGTAGGATGCAAATACTCTAGTTACTATGGTGTATGTAATAAGGAACTTTTCAAGGGAAGGCTGGGGATGGGGGTGGGGTGGACATGAAGAGGTTAATACTAGGAGGGTAAAGAAAGAAACCACACTGAAAGAGATATTTAGGCCAAAAATAAAAACCTGCCACCCCAGTAAGTCTTGATTTGCTGGCTTAAACTGAACTCCTGGAGTTTGCTGGGCTGCATGATTTGTCTGTGGTCTTCTGATTAATAATTCATTCAACCAAATTTATACTCCTATTAGGAAAGTCTTCTAGATTCCAATAACTTCCCAGCTCTTTTAGCCCTGACTTTAGTGTTATACTGAATTCCTCCCATCTTCCTAAGCTCCCTGAAGCAAGAGTCTGTTAATGATGCCTGGGCCCCTGATGGTGTGCCAGGACAAAATTCTGCTGAGCAAAGGGTTTATTGGGCTGGGCTAGAGAGATTCAAAGAAAGCTCATAAAGAAAAATAATGAGTCAGAAGCTGATTAACATCAATCATTTCTCTATGTCTCTAAACCTCTTGAGGAGACCAGAATTCCCTCTTTGGGAACATTGTCTAAAGAGCATGTGAATCCCATTCATTCTGTAGACATTTGCTTCTCAGCAAGTCGAGTTCTCCATTTCTAACATGGATTCAAATAAATTGCTCTTCAATTACTTGGAGACATAGAGGAAGCAGTTAGAAGCAGAAAGTGTAGCAGTTAGAAGCAGAAAGTGTTATAAACGTAAAACCTGACTGGTCCTTTGTGCCATTATTTCAAAGACCCAGGTTCATTCATTTTAGCGCATGCTGTTATACTTTGGGTGGAAGGGGAGTCTTAGAGATACTCTGCCTCTTCCTCATTGCATTTGCCAACTGTTGGAGCCATCGTTCCAGAGCACTTTAATATATTCTAGTCAGATAAACAGGCAATACGTAATGGGATCCGTGACATCCTCTGAAGGTACCCGAATATATGCCTCTCATACTCAAAATCTAAGCTGCAAACTTAGGTCATCAGGGAGTATTCTGACATGATGCTCTTGGCCTTTGGGCCTCTTTTCTTGTCCTCTCTTGGATATGAGGGGTCTCAGTTTTGGCCTGTTTCCTATTCTCTGACAGGGTAAATGGATGGTAGGCAAGTAAGAGTTCTTTTAAAATGCATAAGGCTGAGCAAGACATCCACGAGGTTGGGTTAATGGAAGTGTGCGAGACAGTAATGACACACTGCTGAAAGGCAGCCCCGCCAACTGCTATTTTAAAGGACTCGGAACTTTTTCTACAACCCAGTGTAAAGAAAAGTAAAATGAGGCAAGTGGCAGATATAGCACTGCCATTAAAGTATGCAGACATTCTGCTGATTCTGAAATGTCAAGCTTAGAAAGGTGACAAAAGCAAACAGGCAAAACTGGAGAATGTACCTCACTCCTGGGGAGCCACAGTCACCAGACTGCAGACGACCTTGGAGGGAAATGGAATCTTCATTAAAACAAAAAGGCCTTTGACCAAGAAGGCAAAGAATGTGTCAAACTATTTTATTCATGGCATCATACAAAGCACTTGAAGGGAATAAGGATCAAATATATTTATAGATGGAGACACTGAGGCAAAGAAGAGATGAATACCATTTTGGCTGGCAGGTGTCCATGAAATGTTCCTAAGTTGGGGTGTTAATGAAGATAGCACACCAAGTGTCTAGCAGAGATTTAATTAGAAATAAAAAAAAATTATGAATTAGGGTCACCTCTAAGACTTGACCCCGGTTCACTGAGGGCAAGTAAGACTCTCTGCCCTACTTCCTCATGTTTACAATAAAGTTAGCAACAATACCTGGCCTGTCTACCTCTTTAGGATGTTGTAAAAATCAAAGAGGATAACAGCTGTGAATATGCTTCCTAAAACTGAAGTATCAGGTAATGGCCAGCAACTGCTATTATGTCAGAGACATATTTCTGCTCAACCTCTCTTCTGAACATGAAAACCAAGCAGGCCAGGCGCCAGAGCTGAGAAATCCACTCTGGAGAATAAACTCTCCTATGCTTTGGAAACTAAGGGAGAGACTCACCTGCTTTTTTCATTACTGTGTCTTGCTCAGTGCCTGGCATGTAGTAATTACTCAACACATTTTTTTAAAAGGTTTTTTGCTGTAGGGTATGTGTACTCATCAGAGACAGAGAGAGGGAAACTGAGAAGCCTTACCCAGTGGGAATGGCCACACCACAATGCCTTCTTCTTGAGATTTTGGTTATGCATGCACACATACATGGCATAATAAGTTCAGGACTTGAACTCTGGTCAGCCATGTGGAAGTTCGCCACCTTAACCATGCTACCTGCTGGCTCTACTCAATAAGTATTTTAACAACATTCATAAATAAGAACTCAATGGGGTTGAATGGTGGTACAGAGAGAAAATGCAATGTTCAGTGAGGCTGACTCACATGGGAGGGTTCTGGATTCAAGTCCAAGAATCTGGGTACACCAGCATGTGTGTGCCCACAATCTGGGGTGACTGAGACTGGGGGGGGTGGTTCACAGCACCAAGACCCTGTTAGGGGTGCTATCTTGTTTCTCTTTTTCTCACTTGCTTGTGGAAGAAATAAATAAATAAGCTTTAAAAAATAACTTATTAATAAACATGAGGGAGCTTATCTCATGTGTTCAAGTGCCAGTCAACTGTTCAAAGTCAAACTGTGATTTATTCCTAAGTCCCCTAACTTCCTTTGGTACTTCCATGGTAGAATTACAGAATGACACAGACCACTGGGTGGACTTCCTCGTTATACCAAAATACCACATCCTCACACTCCTGCTCAGCAAAATAAGCCTCGCTGGCCTCCCAGCCAACTACACCACCTGGTCTGAACCCTGCCCTGTACATACTCATGGCAATCAGCCCCTCGTCTCCTTATCCAATTTCACCTCCCAGTATTCCTCCGTGCTTAGAAGTGCTCTCTCCTGAATACGTCATCTGCACCTGTGACTCCGACTTACACACATGCCAGGTGCACCCACACTACACCCAGCTCTCAGCTCTTACATCTTTCATGATGCTTTCCCTGCTCCTGCAGCCTGCAGGGACTTTTCCTTCCACCTGCACTTGTCCAGTATTCAGCAAGTGCTTGCAGAATGTGGAACGTGAGAGGAAGCTGCCTGAGTTCCTGGTTCCTGGAACAGTGGAGAGAGAATGCTATGGGGTGAGCTTAGCACCCTGGCTTACTGGGAGGGTTGTTGTCCTATTAGAAAGTCTGCCCCCTGAGGCATGGCCTTACCTTTCGTAGTCCATTTCTTAATGCCTGGCAAAGAAGCTCCTAAGAAATACTTCCCTTTGACTAGATCAGTAAACAAAACCGTAGTAACCTCCTTCCACAATTCACTAACTTTTCAGCTACAGTTGGTCTAGCAAACTGGTGCCCAGAAATGACCTAAAGAGCTTCTGCAATGCTAAAAGAAAGCATGAATGATTCTGATCCCAGTTTCAACCCAATAGAAAAAACCTGTAAACCACATCCCTCGTGAAATTCTACAAAATAACTAAAAACATACCTTGGTTTCTCGGAGAAGAAACTGTAGATCCCGTCCACTGAGGATACCATGGTTTTTCACGTAACTGGGAATATTCTTTGTGCTGGAGCCGTAAACAGTTCCATGTACTTCCATGTACGTGTGAATCATGTCCAAGTAGACCTTCTTATTCTATGGATGGAAAACAAGTGGAAAGTGTTTCTCTTTTCCTTTCATTTGAGTAACAGCCTGTCTCATAGGACAAAGTGTCTTCTTAGAGCTGGAGGTTATAGCATTGGGGGTTCCTAACATGGAGACTGCAGGCATTTGGCAACCCAACTACTAAAACTTCTTTCAAAAGTAATCTGGCTGGATTCTGGGTGCGAAATAAGTCATATGGCCACTGTATGAACTTGTAAGAAAAAAGACATTACATGACAACATATACTGATTACCAATGACAGGGCCAATTTTTCTCGTCTTTCCTTTTTTTTTTTTTTTTTTTTTTTTTTTTTTTACTATCATCCCTGTTCTGTAAATTACCAGATACCCAATGTGTTTTTGGCTCATCTTTATGATGGGAGAAGAAGTTTGAGGAAGGAAAGTCCAAAAAAGGCAGTCAATTGGATTGGAATATTTATCCGGAGATGCTAAACTATCCCTGAGGAATTCAAATATCCCAAGCTCTTGCCAATGTTTCTACTGATGATTAACACATGTTGTTAGAACTGGATCCTACCTAATTCACATCATGGGGAGATGAGAATTTCCCACAATATATACTGATTGGCTCAGCAGCTGGAGAGATAATGAGAATGTCCAGGTAGACAAAAGTAGAAGAGACTAAATGTAAATTTTGATGAGCCCCAAGACATTTAAAAGTAGTTTTACTCTTTTTTATTGATTTCTTCCATGAGCAAGTAAGAGAGCGAGAGAGAGAGAGAGCGAGAGAGAGACCAACAGCACTCTCAGTAGGATCTAACACTACAGTCTGCCCCCAGCCTTGGCCTACCCTGGATCACAAGCACGTGTATACGCAGTGCTTTTAAGGAGGTCTATGGACACGAACCTGGAACCTTTCCGTGGGAGTCAGCCTCCCAGAATATGGCATTCTTGCTGCACCACCAACCAGTCCCCTGGTTTTCTTATTAGAAGCCATACTCAGACTCTCTTCCTGTTATTAGTAAGCACTGAATTTGGAGGCATGTTTTCTAAACCAAAACCACCTGTATGAAGCAGAAGCAAGCTCATTTTCTCTTCCTCTTCATGTTTCCATGTAAGTTGTACAAGCTGGATTTTGAGGAATTTTTTTTTTTGCATTTTTTTTTCCTTTAAAAATTTGGAACACTCAACTTCTGTAATGTTTTCCAGTTGTACAGAAGTGGAACAAGGTTTTCCTGTCCTGAGCCTGTTTTCAGACACTCCAAACACTCCAAGCAAATCTAATAATAGCTGGGTCTGTGATCAAAGATCATCAGGGACACCAAGCGTGGCCTGAGCAACTGGAGACTGCAAGGACGGGGAGGCAGGCTTTGAGGGAGGAGGCTCACCATGTGCCTTCTGCCAACCGTTGCCCTGCTGGACACTGCCCAGAATCTCAACCTGAGGGGAAGAGGTTCCACATCATGGATCAGAAGTCTGCACAACCGGGAGAACGAACAGCCCACGTTTTCCGTTTTATGCACTGGGATGATTTTGTTTGCCATCAGGCAAGTCCATTTCTGATAGCATCGTGTATAAACAAACCTCAGAGTGAAAGATGAAGGTCTTGCCATGTAGGATGGGGCTACAGGATGCTGAATTCACTAATTTTGAGACATGTGCCCTTAAATTAGTGCAGTGCTGAGACACAGTTTATTAACATGGCTTCCCATTTGTAGCTTGAGCCAATATAGGATCACTACCTGGTGTTAATTTGAAGGGTTCTAAGCTCTGGGTCTTGTGCTAAATGTACTGGTAATTCCTGTCCTCCCCCCATCCTAGGGACATAGTTCTTGGAAGGCAGGCAGGACAACCTGTGACCCTGCTCCTGTTGAACACACAAGGTGTATCTGACTGGAGGGGACCCATCCTGATGCTGCCAGCAGCCTGGGGACAGCATGGGGGGCTCCACAAGATGGAGGAAGCCAATCAAACCCTCTGTCAGGAACTCAGTCCTGTACACAGAGAGGTTTCTGACAGTAAAGCCGGAGGCTTAAAGTCTGGTCATTCAGTATGGGAGTCTGGGTAGTTATGGGCAATTAAGACCTGAGGAAGCTACTGCCAATTTGGGGGGGGTGGAGAAAGGAAAAATAATCAATTAAAAGCTGAAGGAGAGGGGCAGGCAGGTGGCATGATGGTTGAGGGTGCTGGACTCCCACAAGGCCGATCATGGTTTGAGTCCTAGACCTGGTGGCTTGCTTTCTCATGTCCCTCTCTCTTTCACTCTGTTCCCCTCTGGTCAAATTTAATTAAATAAATAAAGTTAATAAAAATAATTCTTTAAAAATATTTTAAAAAGAGCTGAAGGAGAGAAGTAGGGAAGACAGAGATAGTTGGTTACAAGAGGGACCCAGAGGTCCAGAGAGTGGTGCAGCAGTAACACAGTGATCTGAGCTGCAGAACCCACATGGGAAGTCACAGTTCACATTCCGAGGACTCCCTGCACATGCTGGGCATGTGCCTGTGCCAACAACTCGGGGCTGGCCAAGGTGGGAGGACTGCAACATGAGGACTCTGTTCAGAGTTCTCTCTCTTCCTCTCAGAAGAAATAAACTTAAAAAAAAAAACAAACAAAACAAAAACAAAAACAAACAAACAAAAAAACGCAAGAGGAACTCAGGAAATTATTTTGACTGAGACATCCCTGCAAGTATGACAGAAAAGAAGAGATGGAGGAGGAAGAGAAGAAACAGAAAAATGAGCGGCAAGAGGAGAAGGAAGAAGAAGAAGAGAGTGAGAAAAGCAAGTGGAGACAGAAGAGAGAAATCTAGGGCCCCGGGCTGTTCTGTTACCATGCCCTCCATACCCTAAATTCCCAGGTCCACCTGAGTCTGTAATAACAGCAGATACTCAACTCCTCTCACACCCCATCTCATGTTTCTGCCTGAGCTACTCTGGGTATATTCCGACCACTGAAAAAGAGGCCTCTCAAGACCTCTTGCCAGCCTTGAAGCGGGGGCTGGGAGGGAGTATGGTGTGCATCTTTCCTTTATGCAAGAAGATATTCCCTGTGAAAAGTCAGCTACTAACTAGTAAGAGTGGACCAAAGGCCTGGACTAGGCCTACTGTGAGCTATGGGGAGAACAGTGAATGGCCTATCTGGTTCCTGTCCTGGAGAAAAACCTTCCTGTAGACACTCAGGTCTAGGATTCCCAGACTACATGTCTGGGAAAGGAGCAATATACTGTACTTGGTGACGTCCCTTCTGCCATCAAATCCCCAAAGAGCTGAGGCTTCTTGAAGTACAACAAAGGGGTAAGTTCAGGCAAATATAAAGAAGTTTATGTAAATGCTAGTAAAGTCTATGAATTCAACGGTTAAGACATAGTAAAGTCCGGAAGTAGGAATTACCTTCAAAGAGGATTTATGTAAGTTCACAAATGAAAAAATCCCCACTGGTGATTAGAGAAGAAAAATGTTTCAAGCATAACCTTAACCTTCAGAGCTGACAAGACAATTAGGTAATTCCAAATCAGGTCTCTTGCTGCCACTTGTCAGAATTCTACAGAACCCCTTAGAACATCTCCAGACCTCTGACAAGGGTTGCTATTTATTCCTGGCAAAGCTGTACCAGAGCCTTCTGCACTGAGATTCCTCCACTCCCAAAATTAATGCTCACTAGAAGCTACAGAAACCCAAAGGGGCATTTCCAGCTCCAAAGTGTTTCCTTGAATTGGGGTCCAAATATCTAACTACTCCCACAAGCCTTTCAACCTGACGTGCGGCAGCCACCTCCAACTTGACAGGTCTAAAAAGGGAACCCACTGCATCTCACCCGACCAGCTTTCCCTTCTCTCCTCCTGAGCTGAGTGAGTGGCATCCACTTCTCAGCCAGGTTCCTGGACCAGAATCATACCTGTCAGTCCTATCCACTGAAGTCCCATCAACACATCAAATTAGTCACAAAGTCCTGTGGATTCTGCTGTCATATTAAATTGGTCTCCTCTGCTACACAGCCTGACCCTTGCTTGCCTAGATCATGCCAGGAGTCAGCATCTTAACATACCTTCCCCTGTGGCTCAAAAGGAGATGCAACTTGCCCATGATTTCCCCATGTAAGCAGCAGTGCTGGGACTGCTAACGCAGAATTTGTACAGCTCAATTCAATTCTCATCAATTGTTTAAACCTAGCAATAGTGTGCATATAAATTATGCTAATATCTATGGATATTTGTAGCAAAAACACACAAATGTGCATGGGGATGTTACACATGCTTCCAGATACCAGGTACCGAGAAGAAAAGGAGGTTTTGAGGGAAGGTAGAGCTTCAGTGATATTTACAATGTATTACTCTAGTAAACAAAATACCGCAAGGGGCTAGATGTTGGTAAA